CATTCTCTTCCTCTCTCCCTCCCCCCCTCCTCCTCCATTCTCCCTCTTTCCCCCCACCCCCCCCCCATTGCCACTCCTTCTCCTCCTGGCAAAGTCTCACATTGTAGCTCAGACTGACCTGGAACTATGTATCACAAGCTGGCTTTCAACTCACAACACACTGGGCAGTGGAGCAACAAAAACAGACCTGTTTCTGCCCTCAGAACTGCAGGCTATAGAAGCTACCAATTCAAAGCCAGAGTACTACAGGTCACTGTGAAATGCCATGAATGATAAATACGCTGATCTTTTCTACCAATCTCATCAATCCCCTATGGAAAATCTTCAACTCTTGGCTTTCTTTGTGTGTGTGGAGGGGGTACATACGCACACGTTCTGATGTTTTGTGAGGATGGGTGTGGGTGCATGCACGCGTGTATATGCATACATGTGCACATGCATGCGTGAGTGTGGAGGTCAAAAGACAACCTGATGTGTCAGTCTTCAGGTACTTTCACCCTCTGAGACAAGGTCTTTTATTGGCCTGGAACTTTGCCAAGTAAGCTAGACTAGCTGGAAGGCAAGCTCTGGGGACCCACCTACCGCCTCCCACCACGTCTTTGCTGGGAATAAGTGTGCACCACCATGCCTGCCTTTGCTCTCAACGCAGGTTCTGTGAATTCAAACTCAAGTCCACATGTTTATGAGGCAGGAGCTTTCCAAATGAGTTATCTCCTTAGGCCCCAACTCTTGTCTTTTTTGATCTCAGTTTTCCTCATTTCACGTTCAAGGTGAGCATAAGCCTTTAATCCCGGCACTGAGGGATAGAAAACAGAAGTTCCCTGAGACAAATGTCTTGCCCTAGCCTCACTGTTAATAGTCACAGCCAAGTCTCCAGCCGGACGAAATACCACTGCTGCAATAGGCCAGAGTCCCACTCCACTTGCCAGGATGTCTCTCAGGGTCCTTGCGTCCAGGTTATCAGCTAGCCATTCAGCTAGCCACCAGAGTGGAAAACAGCTTCTTTGTTCTACAACTCCAGGAAAAGGGCCCAAAGACACCCCAGACAGACTTCACAGCTGTGTGTGCCTTCTTTGTTTCCAGTAATATAAAATGCAACCTAACCCCTCCCACCTTTGTACAGCTCTCTCACCACCCTAAACCTAACCCTATCCCTAACCCTGACCCTAACCCTAAACCTAAGCCCAGACAGACTTCACAGCTGTGTGTGCCTTCTATGTTTCCAGTAATATAAAATGCAACCTAACCCCTCCCACCTTTGAACAGCTCTCTCACCACCCTAACCCTAACCCTAACCCTAACCCTAACCCTAACCCTAACCCTAAACCTAACCCTAACCCTAACCCTAACAACCCTAACCCTAACCCTAACCCTAAACCTAAACCTAACCCTAACCCTAACCCTAACCCTAACCCTAAGCTTTTCCCTAAACCTATCTCTAACGCTATGGAGAGCCAAAAAATTATTGCTAGCCCCCAAATTAAATGTAACCCTAACCCTAAACCTAAACCTAAACCTAACCCTAACCCTAACCCTAAACCTAAACCTAAACCTAACCCTAGCCCTAACAATAACACTAACCTAACCCTAATCCTACTCATAAACCCAACCCTAACCCTACTTTAGCTCTATCCCTAACCCTAACTACAGCCTAACTCTAACCCTAAATGTAACCTTAGACTTAGCTCTAGCCCTAGCCCTAGGCCTAGCTCTACCCATAGCCCAAGTCTTAAGGTTAGCCTTAGCCCCAGCCCAAAGCCTATCCCCTATCTTCAACCCAAACCCTAACCCTAATATTAACCTTAACTCTAAATCTAGCACTAAACTTATGCTAACCCTAAACCAAACTCTAACCCTAACTTTAACCATAACCTTAACACTAAACCTAGCCCTAATCTTGTGCCTAATCTTAAACCAAACCTAGCCCTACCATTAATCCTAACCATAGTCTTAACCCTATCCCTAATGCAAACTTAAGCCTATACCTAACACTCACCCTAACACTTTCCTTAATTCTAGCCCTAAACCTAACCATACCCTAACCTCAATGCTAAACCTAACACTAACTCTTAATCCTAGAAAAACCCTAACCCTAATCCTAACACCATCCATAACCCTAACACTAACCTTAAACTGAACCCAATCTCAATCTCAAATCCACTGATAACCCTAGACTAAGACCTAAACCTAAGCCTAACCTGAATTTAAACCTATCCCTAACTGTAACCATAACCATAACTACAACCATAGAGCTAATAATAGCCCTAACCCTAACCTTAACCTAGCCCTAGCACTGCCATAACTCTAATTTAATCCTAAAACAAACTCTAACCCTAATCTTAACATTAATATCAACCATATCCCAACTCTAAACTAACTCTAGCCCTAGGCACAGCCTTAAACCAAGCCATAATTGTAACACTAACCCTAAACCAAACACTAACATTAACTCTAAATCCCAACACTAACACTAGCCCTAACCCCAACACTGAAGACAGTCTCAAAACCCAACCCCAACACTAACACTAAACCTAACCCTAAACCTGGCCCCAGCTCTAAAACTAACCCTATCCCTAATCCTAGCCTTAATCCTAACACTAACCCACATCTTAATCCTAAACCTAACCCAAATCTAACCCAAACCCTAGCCCTGAAACCACCCTAATCTTAAAACTAGTTCTAGCACTAACCATTGCCCTAGCCATATCTCTAAACCTAGCCTGAGCCATAGGCCAAGTCCTGGTCCTAACTCTAACACTAACCTTAACCCTAACCCTAAAACTATCCCTATTCTTAAACCTAGAGCAGGCACTAACCTTTGTCCTAACCCGAATACTGACCCTAACCCTAAATTTAGCCCTAATCCAAACCCCAACCCCAACCCCAGATTCAACCCTATCCCTGATCTTAGCCCTAGTCCTAACCTGAATCCTAACACTAAGATTTAGTCCTAAATCTAGCTCTAACCCTAAATATAAGTATAATCATAACCCCAATCCCTAATTCTAATTCTAACCCTAAACCTAACAATAAATCTAATAAGACCCTTATCCTAACCCTAGCTCCAGCCCTAGCTCTACATTAAGCTTAACCTTAAACATCACCCTAACCCTAATCCTGTACCTAACCCAGTCTCAACATCAACCCACCCCCAACCATAATCATAGTTATATCCATAAACATACCCCTATCCCTAATTCTAATCTTAACCCTAACCCTAAACCCAACTGCAACTCTAGCCCTAACCATAACCATAAAACTAAGCCTAAACTTAACCCTAGCCCATGCCTGATCCCTAACCCTAACATTTGTTCTAGGGCTAGTCCTAGTCCTAGCCCTAGCCATTGCACTAAAATAAGACTTAAACCTACCCATAGCCCTATCCCTAATCCAAACCTTAACCCTAACTCTAACCCTAGACTTAACCCTAATGCAACCCTAACTAACCATAACCCTAACCTAACCCCTAACTCTAAACAAAACATAAGCCTTAACCCTAAACCTAACTCTAAACTAACCTTAATCCTAATGCTAATGCAAACCTTAATCCTTATCCTTATCTGTGCTGGATAGCTTTAGTGTTAACTTGACTCACCTGGGTTGAGGGAGCCTCAATTGGGGAATTGCCTTCATTGGACTGCCCTGTGGCCGTGTCTGTGGGGCATCTTCTTGATTGTTGAGTGATGTGGGAGGGCTCAGCCCACTGTGGGTAGTGCCACCCCTGTGAAGGTGGGCCTGTGTTGCATAAGAAAGCAGGCTGAGTAGAGGCCAGGGGAGCAAGCCAATAAGCAGTATTTCTCCATGGCTTGTGCTCCTGCTCCTGCCTCCAGGTTCCTGCCCTGAGTTCCTACCTTAGGCTCCCGGATGTAAGCTAAATAAACCCTTTCCTTCCCAAGTTGGTAGTGGTCAGAGTGTTTTGTCACAGCAATGGAGAAACAAACTAGGACAGAAATTGGTACCAGAGAGTGGAGCACTGCTGTGACAGACCTGACATTGGAGGATTATGGAAGCATTTGGAACTTTGGACTGGAAAAGCCATTGAGTGCTTAGAGTTTGTTGCTGTGGAGCTTGGAACAGTTATGTTGAAAGAGCTGTGGATGATGGAGGCCTAGCTTGTGAAGTTTCAAAGGAAAGCGGAGACTATCAGGACTCTGTGTGATACTTTGAATTGAGAATCTGTAGGTTCTGGTCAGCTGGGGCTGAAGAATCAGCTGTGATTAAGAAGAGACCAGGACCCAAAG